TTACTGAGAACTGTAAAAGTAAGGAGTCAGAAAGACTAGTGATTGCAGCATGTTTCTTTTGCTCACTAATGACTCAGTAAAATAGAATCTTAAAATGATGTGTGATGTCACAAATCCATAGTTTAATAAATTTCAAATGGATTAATTAGGCTGCATTTTCTGGAATCAGCTATTTTATTTATCATTCTGATAGTTTCACTTTTAAGTGATAATAGTATAAATTCTTCAAACACAAATCTTTCTAACCAAACTTTGATGCATGCTACTTCACTATTTTTTTATTAATGTTGCAGAGGAAAATAATAGAACTAGGCTGGCTGTTAAGTCTCTTTCAGTTTGAATTTTTTATATTAGTACCAAACGTACTTGCGGTACACAATGATTACATCTCTTGGCTTACTGCATTGTCAAATGTAAATAACGTACCTCCATTCTTTCTGCATCGCCTCCTCTTCTCCCTCTCCTCTCCATCTCTTGACTCCCTTCCCATTTTAAAAAGATCTCTCTCTCTCTACTTCCTATTATAAATCTTTTACTTTGCACTTTACTTGTACTTCAGCTTACTCATAGAAGAGAACCTATTCAGCAGTTAAGCTTATGTGTCTGATTTATTTCACTAAAAATTATGGTCTTGAAGTGTATCGATTTTCCCAAAGATGACTCAAATTTATCCTTCTTTATGGCAGAGAGGTACTCTACTGTATATAAATAACACGTTTCCTTTATATATTCATTTGTTGATGGAGATATAGCTACTATGAACTGTGCTGCTATACACATGGGTAGGCATATATACCTGTAATATGTCTTTAACCCATTTAGAAGATGTCTGTAAGGGGAAGAGCTTAGTCAAATGGAATTTTTATTTTTAATTTTCTGAGGAATCTCCATAGTGGTTGTACTAGTTTACATTCTCACCAACAGTGCAGAGTGTTCATTTTCCTTCCCTTATCCTTGCCAGCATTTTTTATTTGACTTACTGATGATAACAATTTTCTCAGCAGAAAAGCAGAATCTCAGTGCTGTTTTAATTTGCATTTCTCTAATGGTCAGTGTCTACTTTTCATGAGGCTGGGACAAAAATACCTGACCCCCAAAGTTGAAGGAGGAAAGGTGTATTTGGCTCACAGTTTGTAGAGGTTACAGTTTATGGTTAGTTGGCTCCAAGGGAGGGTGGCATGGTAGAGGGGCGTCACAGAGCAGAAGACCAGCAGCAGCAGCAAAAATAAGTAAAACGTGACAACAGCAGCTCCCTTCTGTCCCATTATAGTCCCCTAAAGGCAGGTAGCACTCATACCTAGAGCTACACCAAACCATTTAGTGCACTGGTTTAGTAATCACACGCCCTTAGTCCCAGAATAACACAGTCTACATCTGGCCACCTCCGAAAAAGCCCCACCTATGACTGCTTTGGGGTGATACTAGACTCAGACCATAACAGTCAGCAATGGTGAACATTTTTTCATTTTAATGTTTTCTTTTTATGTCGTGTCTATTCATTTTACTTGCCCCTGTTGTGATTGGAGGGGCCTCATTATTTTTAGTTCATTAGATAGCCTAGATATTGGTCCTCTGTCTGAGGAGCTGGCCAAATGTCTTCCCATTTTATATGTTTTCTCTGCACTTTCTAAGTTTTTTTTCTTTGCGGTGCAAAAGCTCTTTAATTTGATACGATCCTATTTGTTAATTCATCACATCAGTTAATCTGATACGATCCTACTTATTAATTCATGGTTCTACTCCTCGTGCCACTGGGGTTCTGTTCATAAAGTTCTACACCTTATGTCATCAGGAGTTTCACCTATTTTATTTTCCACATTAAGTGTTTCTTTTAAATTCTTTTAAATGTACAATAATCTGGAGTTTTATACATATTTTAACTCTAAACTGAGAACTTACTCCAAAGATATATTCGGTTGTTAGTATCTTCTCAGTTATTTCAGATATCAGGGAATACTCTAAATTTACAACTTAAATTTTTCCTCACATTGAGGATGTTTTTTGATTTTATTATTTCTGTTGCATTTTTAAAAGTAATACTTCTTTTAAAAAATTGTTATGATGAGCAATTACTTTCCATGTTCTCTTTGATCTCACCTAGCTCACCACTTCATAATGTGGAAATATCCTCTAGCTTTTATTAGCTAAATTAAAAATTCAAATCATTAATGTGCCATGCATTTAAAAAATATATTGAAAAGCCTTTTTTTTTTAACCATGATGTTGGAGATTTAAGTATCAAAACACAACTACGAATCTGTGTTAGGAAATACACATACATTCACACATTCATGATACCAAAAGTTCTAGGATACACTTCCATTAACACTTTGGCTCAAATTCCTCAGCGTTACATCTCTCCATCTCTCGCTCAGCCATGCTGTCTTCAGTAACATGTGGGTCAGGTTTGACCATGATCATCCCCAGGCTTCATTATTATACTTTCAATCCAAAAGGAAACAGAAATTTTCCAAAAATTTTTGCAAAAGTCTTAAACTGATTCTCACTGTTCTGATGTCCAAAAATTGGAGGCTGCCAGGTATGAGGGACTTGTGGCAAAGGATTGAAGCGAGGGGTTGTTCCCTTCTGAGGGAATGATTCTGGTGATAAAAGCAAGTATTTCCTATGCTTGATTTGATAACACTTTCCTTCCATTATCTACATTCATATTAGTTTATTCAGGCTTATGTGTTTCTTTTTCAATTTATGATACAGTCTGTCTGTCATTTCTTCACATCCTTCTTCTTACATTTTATGGAATACCAAAAAGGGTGTTATCTGAAATTTGTCCTACTCAAAACTAGGTCTTTCTCTCTCTTTACTTAGAGGGTTATATTTCCCATTTGTAAAATGTACTTATCTCTAGCCAAGAAATGAAGAAAATCTAAGTGCTTATCAAGTAATGAACAGGTGAAGAAAATATAGTAGAACACACAGTGGAGTATTATTTATCCACTGAAAGACTGTAGTCCTGGGAGAGGTGGCACACACCTGCAACTCCAGAACTCTGGGATGCTGAGAAGAAGGATCACAAGTTTGAAGCCAGACAGGGTAACTACAACTTAGCATGACCATGTCTCAAAATTAAAAAGATTTTTTTAAGAGTCTGGGGATATAGCTGAGTCCAAAGGTCCAACCTAAAGGAACCAAACAAAAAATGAAATATTGTCATTTGCAACATGAATTAAACAATGGAACCGTGGTTAATTAAATTCAGAGAAATAAACCAGGCACAGAAAGATGAGTACCATACATTCTCCTCACATGTAGAATCAAGAGTCCTCTCAAAATAAAAATATACAAAGCATGGGGATCTAGCACAGCAAAGGCCCTGGGTTCATTCCCCACTACTACTACTACTTCTACTTCTACTACTACTACTACTAATAATAATAATAATAATTTCAATATTTTAAAATAAATGTCAGAGAGATACCAGGCAAAACACAAAGAAAGCCAAGTACAGGAAACCAAATACTCAAGATAAGTAAGCCATCCCTCCCCATAGCCAATAGAATTCAAGGGAAACAGCTGGACAGGGCTGATTAACTTTAGGGAAAGTTTTATTCAGTAATATATATAA